CGCTGCAGAAGCAACGTGGGCACCGTGCGCGTCTGACCGGGTTGGGCTGCCAGCAGAGGAAGCAGCGTTACACTGCCCAGCGAAACCCAAACCGCAGAGCAGCCCCTGACCTTACGTACCTTTGAGTTATCCGGTCCCCTGGGCTGACGGAGAACTGTTAGACGAGGAGCATTGGCATCATCCAGATTAATGCTCTTCAAACGATTGACAAGTCTGTCGGGACGTGGAGCAGCGACAGCCTTTGCGCCTTCGCTGTAAGAGAGTCAAGCAGAGAGCGCTGACGCCCAGCAAGCTACCGACAGGCCCCTTCCCATCAAGCCACCCAAACTGCCGAAGTACTGTTCCCTACGGTCCTGCTCCCTTCAGCTGGAACAACAACAGGCTCTCGAGTTGCCGGCACAGGCACAGGCCAATGAGAGCAGAACCGCCAGAGAAAGAGTTACAGCACCAGGAAGCTGACACGTAGAAGCGCTACCTCAAGCTTAAGCAAATCGCATGGTTTTCTTCAAACCGTGGAAGTAATTCAAAGGCAAACCCAAAACCCCCAAGCCTCCGTTGCCCTTAGGAAGCAACAAGCCCCAAAGACAGGGGGCCTAACAACAAAGCCTAACAACGCTGAGTTTCTGGTTTTAAATGGAAGTTGCTCTTCAAGAAAGAGGTTGGAGCCCCCGTACTGGGCTGCCCGGAGAGGCGAGCCGCACGTGGGAACACCATCAGTTTGTGTGTGCAACTCCTTCATTGCTACTCTGAAGGCTGTTCCCGAGTTCCTGCTACAGGAGGAGCTTCAGAAGAGGACACTAAAAACCAGAGCAAGTTATCTGGCTTTGAACAGCCTGGTCTAGCGGAAGGTGTTCCTGCCCACGGCAGGGGGGTTGGAACTAGATGATCTTTAAAGTCACTTCCAACCCAAACCATTCTGTGATTCTATGACCTGTAGTCACAAAAAGCTGAGAGTTCTGCTGCGGCACTGGGCACCCCACAGTGCTCAGGTGAGACTCCCACTGAACCAGCTGGAATGCCAAGCTCCCACGCCAGGACCAGCCCGCTCAGCGCAGGAACAGCACCCACTCCACTCCCGTGATGCAGACAGTGTGCCAGATTAAGTCACTTGAATTCAAAGTCCTCACCAGACACGCCACACGTTACAGGCACTGCATTTCCCTGTGCGCTGGTTCAGGATTACAGAGAACTCCACTTCATCCCCAGCCTGCAGCTCCACGCCATCCTGCACTTCTTTGACATGGAAGAAGAGCTTTTTGCTGTCCCCCACTTCGTAGTTAATGAAACCAAACTGAAAAACAGCACATCTCAGGGTTACTTCTTACCTCTGGATCCACACTGACGCAGTGACTTACTCGTTACTGCAGCTCAACTACTTCTAGAAACACCTCTGAGGCGCCCGACGGAAGCGGAGGCGCAATTTCCACGCTGAACAAAACATCCTGTCGGGAAACGCTACTGCTGGGAGCCTAGGCACTCCCTCTGGTGTCGTGAAGTCACATTTAAGACAGAAGTCTATGGAACAAGTTCTGAAAGCTGCCACATCCTGGCCGCTGCATTAAACCGAGAAGGGCGCTGCTGCATGTTCTCTCCCAAGACTCCACCTTAAACGCTCCACAAGAGAAACCACCCAGCTTTTTGGTCTGTCACTGGTGTGAGAAGTCACTGAATTCCATTCACTGCTCCGCTCAAGTACAGAGCGGCAAAACTCCTCCAGCCTCTCCCTAAGCAACTAGAGTTCAGTGCTGCAAAACAGCCACCAAAATAGGGAGCAGTCCCATTTTCCAACCATTCTGAGACCCAGGGCAACCATCAGCCTCCGCACGTCAGGCAGACTGTACCCACAGAGTGCCTAACGCTGTGAAGATGCTTCTAGAAGCAGGGCGGGCAGAGCTCAGGGGGTTTTAGACACACTGATGCCCTGGTTCAGCACAAACCTTGGGCCTACAAGGGAGCTGGGGGGGACTTTTTCCAAGGGTCTGTAGTGACAGGACAAGGGGTAACGGGGTCAGACTGAAAGCAGGGAGGTTTAGATGAGATATAAGGAAGGAATTCTTCCTGCAGAGGGCGGGAGTACTGGGACAGGTTGCCCAGAGAAGCTGTGGAGGCCCCATCCCTGGAAATGTCCAAGGCCAGGCTGGATGAGGCTTGGAGCAAACTGGGCTATGGAAGGTGTCCCTGCTCATGGCAGGGGGGTTGGAACTAGATGGTCTTTAAGGTCCCTTCCAGCCCAAACCATTCCAGGATTCTGGGATAAAACTAGTGGCATCAGTTTCCAGGACATCTCAAAAGCAGCTCTTCAGAACCAACCGCAGCACCGATGTATCGGCACTGAATACAGAGTTCACCTTCACTCACGCTTTGCCCAAACCAGCCTTTGGGTGACTCCCCTGGAGCCAGCGTGAAAAGCAACCCGCTTGCGCACAAGCAGCTTTCCGCACTCGAGTGCCGAAGGGGGTTCTCATCGGCGCCATGCCGAGTCACCCACGTGTTTCCCAATCCCCATCCTGGCTTCGCGGCAGCCGCCGTCACTCACCTGGTCTTTCACACACTCCACCGTGGCTCTGCGGAAGGGCGTGATGTTGACAGCCATCGTCTGCCCGTTCTGACCAAGCACGCAGAGCTGAAACTTCACTGTCTCTCCCTTTTGCAGACAGTCACCTTTGTTTGCCATCCCGACGATTCCGAAGGGATAGACCTCTCCTTTCATCTCACCTGAAGGAGCAGAAAGTACAAGAGCAAGTTGAGGCGTGTCCTTTCCGACCTGGGGCATTCAGAATGAAGGAACACTTACACTTGAAAAGCAACAAATCTTACCATCCTCCATGACCTCAATCATGCCCTGGTATTCCGTCTGTGTGGGATCTACGCTCCTTAAAGGACGAATTACTTTACCAGAGTAAACAGTTGGATCGGCTTCTTCAGTGATCCCATTCACTGAAAAGAAACAGCGCGAGGACAGGACATTCTAGTCATGCTTTTTAAAATAAAGCGTCAGAAGTGACTCAAGACTGCCCAGGAGCCAACAGTCCGCCCCGCAAGGCGCCCTACGGCAGTGCACCCAGTAAAGCCACATCAGCTCCAGCACCGCAGAAAGCAAAGGCAACTTTTCTAACCAAACCTGCGCTGAGAGTTCGAATACGGACACAGAAAACCATCAGTTTCCCACATAAAATACCAAGGTATCTAAATCCCGCTGCATTCCCATTCCCTCCTCACTACAATCATTCCATAATCTTTACGTTTGCGGTTTTTGCCCCCACGTCCGTAACAGCCCACCCACAATGCCCCTTCCGTGAGGCACAGCACAACGCTGCAGTTACTGACTTGGCCAGTTCTGCCACGAGGTCTCTCCTCACGACCCTCCCACTGAAGGGGACAGGTCCAGAGAGTGGCTGCACTTGTCTGTTCTCTGGGAACACAGACAACGGCTCTCAGGAACCCGAGGACCACATTAAGCATCGTCCTCTCGGCCTAAGCCCTGGCTGTAGATAGGTTATTAACGAGCTTTATCGATCAGCACCTTCCAAGAGCCCTGCGAGCAGAAAATACCAGGTAGAGCCTTACCTGCATGTGTTTTGTTCACCTTTTCTGCACTAACTTTGTTGCCTTTGCCTTTTGACAAGCTGTATTCAACAGTGTCTCCAAGTTCCAGGCTATCAATGTCGCCGCAGTATTCACTACAGGAACAGAGTTCAGTACAGTTTTCCTTTCGTTACGTGACAAAAGCTCATCCAACATTTACGTAGGGTGATCAGAAACCATTTCAGCAGCTCCGCACCGCACCTCCCGTTTCAAGAGACCTAAGCATTTCACACGCACAGCACGCTGCATTCTCGGCCCGGGATGCAGAGGCACGCAACACCCAGGCTGCCGGCTAAGGGAGCAGCCTGCACCAGTCCAGCAAAGATCGTAACTGGAACGTGAGGCATCTAAACACGTGTGTGTGTTGAGTCCAAACCGGTTCAACAGTCAACCTCACCAAACCCTTCCGCCGCCATGCTCCCCCCAGAAACAGCCAACACCCCCCCAGTGAATAGTAACAGTAAAATTGCCATTCACCTGTAGTGGAAAAAGATCTCCTTATCGTGATTGGCTGTTTCAATAAATCCAAAGTTATCTTTCAGGGCTGCCACATATCCCAAAAGCCTCTTAGAGCTATAATTGCGTCCGAGCATCCTGACAGAAACAGCTGTCTGCAGACCAGTTCTCTTCACTTCACAAACACTGAACTCAACCTGTGGAAGAGAAACCTATCAGCACTAGAGAGAGAAACCCAAACAACCCACGACTGCCCAAACCATGGCCACCACCACCCAGAAAACCCCAACCTCACCACCCTGCAACTGCTCACTCCCAAGCCGTGTAGCTCTCACCAATACCCAGGCTCTCTAGGAAGCTCGTTTTGTAGACACTACTCTCCAAGAAACACAGCCCTGGGACGTTTACAACATCCCCAAGAGCAGCAGCGACACCAGGGACATCTGCAAGGCCAGCCAGCCCCTAGCACTCAGCTCCTTTTACCCATCAAAGATGAGAACCGTTCTGCTGAAGCGATTCGCCTCCCAGAACAGTCACCCGTGCCGTCCTAGCGCGGCTCAACACTGACAGTCTCGAGGCTGCTCTTCTCCATCTCCCTTTCCATTGTCTCTCAGGCTAATTTGCTCCTAAGGGTCTGTTCTCCCACACTCATCTCAAAGGGTTTAATGCTAATTTCCTCACAAGCTGACTCCACTGTCTTAATTACAGGAATCCCTTGTTAAAAAACATCGTTTATGTGACATTACAAGACACTGTTTTCATATATGTAGCACCAGGATTTAGGATATTTCTCTTAGCTATACAGAAGAATAGGCCACTCAAACCTAGGACAGAAGAAAAGAAAGGGGTGACATTACGCATCGACCTTGTCCTTCATCTGTTCTGAGAGGGAGAACAAGTCCAGTAACAAGGCAAGGAGAAGCTCACACCCCACAATGCACACAGAAGTATTTCCCAATGGTCTAGAGTTCTATTACCTTATCTCCTATCTGGGGATTAGCAGATCCTTCCACATCCTTGGCCTGATAAGGAATGGTCAGTTTTACTCCACAGTCATCATAAACAATTATTCCATCTTCAGCTTCCTGGGAACAAGACAGGAGAATTCAGCAATTGATGTCTTACCCGTAAGCGCGCGCATTCACTACGTACAGCTCAAGCGCTGCTCATTCGAGCCACTGTGGCTGTAGGGCAACGGCTCAGTCACTGGGGAAAACCACCACCAACTCCGAGTATGAAGCTGCAGACAGTAGCAGACTACGTTTTCAAGGGAAAGACAGCGTTACCGCTGTTCCCAGTTTTCAGGTGAAGTTTCTGATGCCGGCATTGTTTCAACCAGCCGGACGGGAGAGCCCAAGTTCGCCTCCAGCCTGAGAAACGCAATGTTAGCAATTCATCTGTTCTCTTGTGTAGTGGGAGGTAGAACAAAGCTTCCCATCATGCTCCTGCACGCTCCCCTCAACAGCACGATCGCTAGCGAGGCTTCTGTTAGCCTGTTTCACACAAGTCAGCTTTCGCTGACCGCTGCCCTCAGCTGCTCCACGTAGCTCACGTTTGTAGGGACAAACCGCGCTTCAACAGGCTGAACTACAGATTTCAAGGAAGCGGCCTCAGCCCCCAAAGCCAGGAACACAGAACAGGCACTCTGGGAGTAAAGAGCAGCATTACCTTCTCTTTGCCTTTGTTTGGGCTAGTGGCTTTGGCTGGAGTGGCTTCTTTGTCTATAGTGCCCACAAAACGATGATCCGACTGGGTGTGGAAAGAAACCGTGCCCTTCGGAAGTTTTTTAATCCTTATAGCATGGTTTCTCTGGGCAGAGAGCATATCCTGAAAAACAAGATCAACCAGACTTTAGACAGACCACAGACCACCTCTTTAAAAACTACGATTTGACAGAAACGTTGATCTCACTTACGGGAACGACAGTGAACTCCACTTCATCCGAAATATGGAGCTGATTTCCATCCATGATTTCACTGAAGTGAAAGAACATGCGAGCGTCCCGGTCCACGCATTTAATGAAGCCAAAGCCATCCCTCATTGCTGCAATCACACCCTGGGGACAGGCAAACCACAGGCACATTTGACAGCAGAACTCGAGAGCTGTCCGCAGCAGCCCTTCCCGCCCCTGGCGCGCGTCCGGATCTGAAGGCAAGCCTCGGCTTTTAAACCAGTTGTTCAGGGTCGCTTTGCTGTAACCAGACAGCAACCCAGGCCGAGCGGGGCAATTCAGGTCTAGCTCTCCAGCAGGATCTCATTTACTCAGCAGTTAACCTTCTGCTCTTTTAAGGGAGAGACGCACAGAATTCCAAACTTCCTACCGCTTAACCACTTGAAGCGTCCACCTGAGGTCTGGATTTCAGAAGAGGCAACGGCAGAGACGAGTGATTCCTACATCAAGTTACTGTTTAAGGCAAACACCCCCCGGGTTTACTTTCGTTTCCCCTCAAGAAATAAAGATTTGTCAAGATGGATACTTGCCATTTCCCGGGTTTCGTTAGTAAACTGGAAGGTATTGGGCAGAACCTCAATATTGGTGGCTCGTTCCAGTTTGTCACGTCTGTCCGTTGAAATATTGAATCGAACGTGATCACTTTCCAGCAAGGTCACCTTGGATTTTGTATCTTTATCTCCAAATGGAAGTTCTTTAGGAATCACAAAGTCAACTTTGATGCGGCCAGGTAATGGATCGCTCTGGCAGACAGAAAACCCGACAGAAGAGGTCAGTTCACCTACAGGACTCCACGTAACTGCAGAAAGGCCAATGCTGCCAGAAGTACGGATCATGCCACTCCCAGTCTGGAATTTACTGTCCGCAGCCAAACGCAAGGCAGTTTGTGGTGGTGGTTGGTTTTTCTAAGCACTAAGCAGGTATTGCCAAAGATATTAAGCCTACTCCATGCATTACATTGATAACCATGTTTCGAATGTTTCTACAAGGCAGTCTCTCTCTTGCTGGGTGTCCAAAACACAGAACACCCCCACCCTAAACACCACCACAGACTCGCCTAAAAACGTATGGGAAGTGCTCACATACACTCCTTCCTGAAAGCCAAGGTGAAAGGTGAAGTTCTCTGCCAAAAACCTCACTACCTGGTAATGTTCACAGGGATCCATAGACAGGCCAGTATTTTCTCCCCTCTTCTCTACGCTTTCGCTTAGGATTTCAGCGAATTCTGGAACTCACCTGGCTTTTGCTGGGTACTTTTGGGATTACTTTGGTTACAGTTCCTTCAAAATGTTCAATGCTGATATCTTCGAAAATGACAGTTCCTTGAGGCAGCAGTCTAACATCTGTCGCGACTTCTTTACCCTGAAAGCACAACACGTGTCACACCCCCAGGGCTGAGGCAAGGCAGCAGACAGTTCCCAATGGACCCAAGAAGACAGCTGTCCTCTTAGGCCCTAGGATCCTGTCTTCAGTTTTCAGTGGATTTCATCTTACATTTCTGTCTTTGATTGTGAACTCCACATCATCACCAGGCTGTAAGGCTTCTAGGTCACCTTTAAATTCACTATAGTGAAAGAATATCTCCTTCACGACATCACCCCTCTCAATAAATCCAAAGGCTTCCTAAGAACAGAACAAAGCATTTCATGAATTGCCTCTCTCCTGACAAGACAAAGCGTTACAGGTTCTAGCAAACGCAGCCAAAGGCTGTGACGCAGCAGTACAGCACTGAGGAGTGCACACAGCCAAGAGACTACACAGGAAACACTGAGGACTTTCTCTGTTAAGAACAGTATTAGCAGCAAAGATTGGCCGTCTAAACCATTTCACCCAGTTTACACCCACAGCTCCAAACGGTCAGTAGCTCTTAATGCCCTAAAAATACTACTTTTCAAAACGCCACTTTTCAGAACAGCATTTCATTTTTCAAATGCAACCTGAAAGCTACAGCACCACTTACTTTCATGGCACAGACCACTCCTTGACAGCGGGCTTGTTTCTTTTTTAACAGCATAATGTTACGAGCACTCACAGCACCAGTACTGGAGGGAAGAAAGAGGGGACAGAGTACACTCAGAACCGCAAGACTGCACGCCGTAACATCATTTCAGCTCTTGGCACAGGCACGAGTGGCTGCCTGACTACTAAAACAAAGGCTGAAGCCCGAAAAGCAGCACCAACTTACTGTTTATTTGTATCAATTACAAAGTTTATTTTATCTCCTGTTTCCAGCTGTACATTTCCTTCCACGTCCTCGGGGGTGTAAGTCAGGTAAAACACTTCCTGGAAATTAACATCGGCTAATATCAGTCGGTTTGCAGAAGAGTTCTTCCAAAGAAGGATTAACACAGTTTTACTGGATAACAACATCTGCTATTAGGTAGATTTAGTGCGAAAACAGAAAATGGCTAGACTGGCACGCAAAGCCGTTCTTTCTTCCACCGCGTATCAGTCCGTAACAAGCAGCTGAAGGTGAAAGCTTTGTACGCGGCCACCTTTAAACGCCAATTTCTGAACTCCAAAAGCTCAGGATTACATGCACATTACATAACCCAACTTCATTAAGTTTTAAAAGACAAAAGCCACTATTGGCTCTATAGAAAGGTCTCCACAGATAAAAGCAAGCAGGCTGTGTAATTAACATTTCTGTTTGCAGCAATCACGAAAGCATGCTTTGGGTTTGGCTAAGAACTACAGTTCTTCGCAGTGTCAATTGTCTACGTTGAACTCTGTCAACTTCTTTCCTCACAGCCCACAGCGATGGACCAGTGAAAAGCGCAAGGAAAACACGTAAGCTTTACCCCATTGCGTTCGTAGCACACGCTCCCTGTTGGACTCTGACCCGGGGCAGCTGGAGACTTACTCTCTAAATTGTGAGGAACAGCACACACAACCTACCAGTCAAAAGAAAACAGACCCATTGCTAGTCATTCCAGGAGCAGCACTGTTGAATACAAATGAATCTCAGCATCCTCTACTACCAACTCCAGGATGCACTTCCAGCGTAACTCAACAGGGAATGCCACGCTGCAGGGTTTCAATCTCACAGAACAACTGTCGACTCCAAGAGCCACGTAAGAGCTCAGAGGACACCTCTGAGTTGGTACCAGAACGGCAGCAACACAGCTGAGTGTAACCAACAGCCACAGGTACCTGAAGCGCCTGCTAAAGGAATCCCGCCATGCACGTCCAGAACAGGCACTAACCTGTCCATTTATTCGTTCTTCGGGTAGTATTTCCGGTTTTATCTTCACCAACTTAATAGCGATGGGTTTTCCAGTTCGGCGGTCAGATGACACTTCGAACTCGACGTCGTCTGCAAGACAACCAAACACGACCACGGCGTCAGTCCTGCACGGGCGGTTGTTGCTGCTGACTGACCGGCTGCACGGGAGTTCACTGCTTGGAGCCCAACACAAAGGAAAACTCGTGCTTTCGTTACCAAGGAAAGATACCACATTTGCAATTACTTCTCTGCTCATTCCCTCCTGCTGCTGCTGAACTCTATCGTCGTGGCTGCCCCCCAGCCCGCTCACCGCACAGCGGACTTCACGCTGACGTTCAGACCACGTAACACACACCGCTGCACGGCTCAGAAAGTTCTCTGCCACATAAATCAGTAGCACGAAGCAGCAGCCTCCCCACGCCGGAAAACAATCAGCCGTCTTCCAGCTGCCAACAGGAATCCTGAATGCGTGAGGTACGACCGTCCTGCCCAAGCACCTGCTTCCGTCTCCGCTAGACGACGCTGACCTGACCCCACACCGTTTACAGAACGGCCACAACTGCATTAATTCCAGCGGCACAAAGCCTAAATCCCGTACAGGTCTCAACCAGCGGTGGCCGATTCTGAGTTCAGCCGTTTCTAACCCACCCGAAGCAACAGCAGGTACCTGCTCACGCTGCAGGGCAGAAGGCTGCTCTACGGCCAACGAGGACTGGCCTTAACGCAGTCAAGAAGCTCTGAAAGTCGCCTAATTACCTCCGACTTTGAGCTCCTGTAGGTTGCCATTGTACTGCGAACAGTGGAAGAACAGTCTGGCTTGCCGTTCCGAACACTGAATGAATCCGTAGGAGGTCAGCAGTTTCTCTATAACCCCAGTCTCGCGCAGCGCTGCCGAAGTACCGTTGGGGTACCCGTTGTGGCCATTGTTGTGGAGCAGGTTTGGATCAAAGCTCATCTGTTTGACAGAAAGCATGGGGGGGGGACGGGACACAAAGACCCCCACTCACAAGAAGTTCCCTTTCTCCCCACCCACACAACAGAACAAACACAGAGCTTGTAGAAGTTATTTTAACAGGCAAATTCCAACCATTTTTAAAACAGAGCACGAACATAAAGCAGTCCAGTTCTGTAAAAGGATCTGTAACATTTAAACGGGCAACACGTTTATAAACTAGGCGATAAATAGAAATGGCACTTCCTTAGACCAAAACAAACTTAACTGTTATACCCCAAAGTACTCCCACGCCCACTGTTTCACACCGGAGTCTGAAAACATCCGACGTACCTGGAAAACGCACCAGTTCGGAACCAAGAGCAGTGGGTTCGCATCCCGGCAAAGCCTGCCCCTAGCCTGCCTGCTCAGCCTCTCACAGTGCGAACCATCTAGTAAGGCATCTCTGCAGAGCTCTGGAATTAACAGCCAGCATTAAGCTGCCGTTTCTGCAGAGGAGCTCGAGGGCTGAGGCGACTGCGGAAACTTGGAACCACCGCTGAACTAGGAAGGGTCGAGCTGTAACGAACTCCTCGGGTAACTTCCATCCACGGACATACCTCTTCCTTGGGGGTAGCTGGGGTGAGGTGGGTGTATGTTTTCTTTTCAAGGCACAGGCTTAATCTTGAAATATTCACAAGTCCCTTTACTAACTCATTGGCTTTTTGATGTCCAAGTCTCGTTTTTAAAGCGAGCCACGTCCACTCCCAGGTCACACGAGGTGGAACGTGTTCCACCTCGCCAGGCACTTCAAGAGACTGCGGCAGCACCCTCAGCATGGCCGCCTCCCAGCTCTGATGGGAGTGCACAGACACCCCTGCCACGGACATTAAGCAACAGACTACTCCTAAAGGTACATCAGAGACAGAAAATGACAAAAATCTACCCAAGTCTCAAGTTCCGTAGGGTCTGTTTTCGGATTAGAGAACCACGCTGCTGTAACCCCTTGCTCAAGGACTACCACTGGGGCACACCATTTGGGCAGTTTGAGTTTAAAGAAGTAGCAGTACAGCACAAAGAACTCATCCTCCTCTGCAGCCTGACAACTGAAGTTCAAGCAAGGCTACCGCTGGTCCCTCGTCACGCTCAGAAACACACGTAACGCGGTTTAGAACACGGGCACCCACCTCGCAGTGATACTCAAATATTGCACTTTCAGTAGTATTAGCCGATTCTTCTGTTTCAGCACAGGTTTCTAAGGATGAAGACTGCTATTACTGGGGAAAAAAACCCAACAAACAAACGAAAAGGGAAGAAAAAGAAAGAAAAAGAGATAGAGAGAGAGAACGAAGAGCAGGTAGCCAGAGACTGATCTATGAAGCTAATAGGGAACACAAGTGCTGCTGCCCAGGGCAGATTCAGTACAGCACTGGAGAAAACAAAGACTACTAGCAGCGTTGGGACGTGCTCTTTTGAAGCTGTTGAGTAGGCACAAACTTCTTGTTTCAGATCAAGCCTTGTATCTTCAGCGTAAGGTTCCTCTTCTTTGGTCTTGAGTTGTTGTTACGATGTGGTTCTTTTCCTGATCTGAACTTGAAGCAGCAGTTTCAGGTGGTAAATTCTGTTCTGTTCCACTTCATACTGGAAAAAGGAAGAGACACACGCCAAGGATCACTCTAAGAGAAATTACACATCAGCCCCAGGTGCTCCTAGAAATCGGTGCATTTCCTCTACCTTAGTTCTGTGGGTTTGATCCTTCCTAGGAAAGGCTGGTTTAGAGATATCTGACATTCCCATTTTCAGGGTTTTTTCCCCAAGAAACTCTGCCTCCAACCAGTGACACAGCATTCCCAATTTTAAACTCCTCAGGCACAGCCAGGTTTTTCAGGCAAGGCCCCAGCTCTTAGAGTTAGAACAGCTGCTTCACTCTGGTGAACAGGGGCATCATTCAACACAGGCCTTAGTCCTCCCACCGAAAACTTCCTGTGGGTGCTGTCTCATGATGTCACTGGGAAGGGCTTGCACAGACCTCCAGAGCAGCAACAGGGCAGGGAGCGAACCTGCTAACATTTGCCCCAAAAGGGAAGTCAAGGTCTAGCGCTACCTGGCGCACCTTTGGCTCTGTGCAAGCGAACCAACTTCCCAACCGCACGCACAGCGCCGCGCTCGCTCCGCACGGACCACGCGCACCCCGGCGCGTAAGGTAACCGCAGCGTCACTGCGCCGCTGGTGAAGCGCTGACCCTGCGGCTGGCTTCACAGAGATGCCTCTCTGCAGCAGTAACCAGGTAATAACTCCCTCCTGAAGCTTCCCAGTACCACTTCTCATTTTCACCAGCAAGCGGCTCAGGCAAACCGCCACCCACCGCAGAAAGCCGAGACCCCACGGACGCTGCAACACAGCGAAAAGCAGCACAGTCCTGCTGTGACCGGAGCTGGCTGCTGGTTCACTAGATACGGGAAAAAAGGGGAGGAGATCTCTGTGGACAAAAGCTGCTGAGAAGCTGCACGGCCATGAATCCATGGACAAAGCAGCACCGTACGCAGCCACCTAAGGGTGCGACGCACCAGAGCACAACCCTTCCCCCACGTCCCGCACCGAATCAGCACAGCTGCGCACAAGGCCCATTCCTCAACCATCGCGGCAAAGGGGATTTCACAATTTCCATTCACCCAGAAATTCCCTTCAGCGAACACTGACGGGTGAACTCAAGGCACCAGAAGGGGAAGGCGCGACACTTCTCTCACCCCAGCGAGGATGGGACAGCTGGCTACCGCGACTCAGAACTACCCCCGGCGCAGCAGCCGCCTGCGAACTCATCGCCCAGCATTCACAGCAGCGCCCGCTCCTCCCGAGGAAGGATCCTCCTCCAGCCACCGCTCCAAAAGGCCGGCAGCTGCAGTAAGTTTCCTTGTCAGACCCTTACGCGCACATGAACGGGACCGAGTGAGAAACCGGCTGAGGGCGGCACAAACCAGCACCTAGGAGGACAGGTCTGCACTGAACGGCTCCATTGTAAACCACCATGAACCTGAAGACGAAAACAAGAGGATCACCAGCCTTTCAGATATCTCCGTGTCGGACTGAGGCAACCGCTACCACAACCTCGTTCTGGGCAGTGTTTCAGATCTCACACGGACGTCACCACCCCCCACCTTCAGGGGAGACGCAGCAGGCAAACACCGTACCACAAGGCCTGCAGACACTCGGAACCTTCCTGCTCATCTCCTTCTCCCTCAGCTAATTAGACTATTATTATTATTAGAGTGCTATGAGAGCTGTAACCTGTATTACACTTCTCATTTTTCTGCACCTAGAATCTACTCTGTTTTCGTAGAATAAAACACTTCTGCCCAAAGATGACTAAAGCTAATTTTGTCAGATAACAGAGTAAGGCACAAGTTTCTCCCCTAAAAGACAGTTTGATTTGATAACAACACAGCTTTGCTACACTTCAGCTACTTTGAAAACCAGGGTTGTCCAACAAGCCTAACTCAGGCAAAAAAAAAAAAAAAAAGGCACCCTTCCTTGTTGTGTGGGTCTGCCTCCAACGCTTTGCTTTTGAATTCGGCTCCTGTAAATACCCCAGCGAAGGGCAGCCACCCGCCTGGCAGCCGCCCAGCCCCCGAGGCACGCTGCCTTCACAGCCGAGACACGGCCGGGGAAGAGCCCCGCAGCTCCATCGGGTGCCAGCGAGTCCCATCC